TTTATGGGGGATTTTTACTTGTTGATGGGGTTTCTGATTTTAACTGTGAGCCACCCAGTCACCCGTTGGGGAGAGATGGGCGGCATACAAATTTAATAATAAATAAATAAATAAATAAATAAATAAATAAATAAATAAATACTTTTGTTAATGCTGTGTTTTTAACTCCCTTCCATTTCTCTCAAAGAAGTGAACTGGAGACAGGGCTAATCTTGAAGCTCCTTGCCACTGAAGGAACATGGGATGCAATAGGTCCAAGCTTCCATATATCATGCCTATGGCTATTTTAGAGCTTAGTGCTGGCAAGAACACTCTCAGCATAATTGTATCATTATGGTAAGCTTCCGAGATCATAACTAGGTCTATAGAGGGCCATACCCCATCCCACACCAATACTGGTAGACTTTTTATCTAATCATATAAATTATCTACATTGGTCTTGCATGCCCATGGATAAATAGGGATTAAATCCAGATCGTGAGAATTTACCATTCAGATTTGATGGAAGATGACATATCAAAGTACACTGCAGTCTGGAAGCATTTATGCTGGTTGCTTCTGCACCTCATTCTGGAAAAGTAAACCTTTCTTTGCCCAAATGAAATGAAACAAGGCTGCGGGATGGCAATCCGCAGATGCAATAAGGGCAGAAAAGTACTGACGCTCTCCAAATGCAGGCAAGCGGCAGTAAACAGCAGGCAAGCGGCAGGTGGCAAGCCGGAGGCAGGCAGTAGGTAGACGCAGGCAAGCCTGCCTCCAATTCTCCCCTCCAAACGCAGGCAGGTGGAAGGCAGCAAGCAGCAGGCCAACAGCAGGCAGCAGGCAAATGTAGACAAGCCTGCCTCCAATGGTTGCCTCCAAATGCAAGTAAGCAGCAAGCAAGCAGCAGGTAACAAACAGCAGCAGGCAACACACAGCAAGCAGCAGATAAGCAAGGAGCAGGCAAGCAAACAGCAGGCAACAAGCGGCAGGCCTATGGCAGGCAGCTGCAAACATAGGCAAGCAACAAGTGGGAGGTAGCATTCAACAAGTGGCAGGCAGCAAACAGCAGCAAGTGACAAACAGCAAGCAGCAGCTAAGCCAACGGCAGGCAAGCAAACAGCAGGCAGCAAGCAGTCAGGAAATGGCAAAACGCACTGGCAGCAAGTTCTCCAAATGTGGCCAGCACAACAAGCACAGCCCGTCTCCCAGCTCACTCCTCCCAGCACTGAGCCCAGCAAGCGCTGACCCAAACGCTCATACGTGCATACATTCAATACAGACACACAACACATTCAACTCAAATGCTAAATGTCTAAAATGAGGACAGTCCATCCATGGCTCCTGTTCCTTCCGTCATCTTAACGGGAAGTCCAGTTAAACATTTTAGTACAGGTTTCTATGTTGTAATATGAACTCATACACTTTGCCACAGTAACTTATTTAGAAAAAAAAGTAAATTGCCTTCTAACTATAAACAGACCATCAAAAACAATACTTACTTGTTTTCCTGGCAATTCTTTGGCTTTTCCTCACTTGCTCAATTTTGGTATTTGCATCTGAAAATGAGCAATGGCATGTGCAAATTCCCAGTTGCGAAGATTCGTACTCTTTATAATTAAATCTGCTGACAAATAAATGGTGTGAAATTACAAAATGCATTTTGAAAGTACCTTAAAACTTTTCCCTGATTTTTCTGTAACTGACTAAAATGGGACTCCCTCTGGAAATTAATTAGACTCGCCCAATATAAGGTTTAATCTTGTCTAAATTTTAAACTGGAACTGTACATTTTTAAATACCCTAAACTGGATATATAAAATTAAAATTGCCTTCCCCAAAGTAAAAATACATAATACTCTATTCAATATCTTTAGCTGATAGTTATACCTGTGCATCTTCTGATGCGTTCCTTCTAGAAATTGTTGGCAGTTAGAATTAGCATCTACATCATTTATAGCAAAGCTCTTTCTTTGGTGGGCTGATTTTGTTAACATACATGAAGTTCCTTGGAAAAGTTGCTCACATGAACAAATGTCTTTTAAAATGGAATTTCCTTTTTTAGGTGGTCTATCATGACAAGCAGTTTTTTGAGGATCTGAATGGCACAGTGGATGCATACACTGGTCATAATCAATCTATGAAAAATCAATTGCAAAATGCTTCAAAAGGCATATTCATAAGGGTAGAAAATATTGATACTTCTATACATAATGTACATTCTGAAAACAACTTCATACTGCATATGGGCTGGGTTTTTGTCTAGTTAAATAATCTATTCATTTAGGAAAATTGAGGAAAGGGCTTAAAATAATTCCTTTATATCTCTGATTATGTTAGAATGATAAATATTTATTATGATGAATTTTTTTACCTTTCTGCACACCTAGAATTTCAGTTGCAGATTATTATTTCACCTTTTTAAAAAACCAGGATTCTTCCTAAAATTATTTTTTTCTATAACTATAGAAAGCTATAGAATCACTAAGGAAAACAACTTTACAAAAGAAGCTAGCCTTATAGCTATCTTTTTTGCAGTTATTAACAAGTTGATGAAGATTCTCAGTCATCCAGGTGGAATTATCTGGAGGTTGAGTCATGGCAAATCATGTCAGTGAGAAACGCAGCCACCCTGGCAGACATTTCTGGGGTCCCCCCTCACCAACTTTCCAGACTGAACAAGATGGTTGGACAAAGAGGCAAACGGATCTAGCCCAATGAAAAGA